GATGGCCAAGCGATTGATCTGATGGCCAAGCGATTGATCCCTAATCCCTTTTGTCGTTGTAAGCTCACGTCTTAGATATGGATTTGACTGGATCTGTTGGTGGCTAAATTCGCCTGCGGAGCCTGGTGGAGCTTCACAATCTGAATAGAGACGTCTTAGAATCGGAGTTCGCGAGGGTGAGGAACTGCGTTTGAGGCTTCGGTGCTACAATATGACCCCAAATCCGTTCACCGTTCACGCCACCATTAATGGCTTTGCACCTCAACGTGTGAACCGAAACTGGACGGAAACGTAGTGCAGGTACGTGAGAACATCTGCCAGTGAGGTCACAACGAATCAGAGATTGAGGTTTGGAGATTGAATAAGTGGAGACCTGTGGCGCTGGAGGAACGAGCTGCGGGAGGAGGCGGAGTTCATCCTCGGGATTGTCCGCAGGTGATCGTTGCGTCGGTCTGCACCTGTGCTGCGAGTTCGTCCTGGTTAGATTTGTAATTCCTGATATGTGTTCAATTCTTCTTTTTATGCATCTTAACAAATGGAAACATAAATAAACAAAAAAAAACAATATTAAACAACAATAATTCAAAAGTCATCAACAAAAAGAAACAGGTGAAACAAAAAACAACAATAATTGATGTTGGACCTTGTACTGGGATTAGTTGCTTCCAAAAAAATTGAGAAGTGTATTTCATCAGGGAAATTGGTTCCAGTGAGGCAATGATGATGGATCCTTGGTGATATGCAAAAGAAACTCTTTCAAAAATGCAAAAGAGCTAAACTGAAGTGAAGTGACCTAAATTATGTAGCTAAACTCACATCCTTGCATTTCGACTAATAAGGTTAGATGTTTATTGGTTAAATTTGCAGGAAAGAGATATATGATCTAATCAAGTGTCATATTTGCTATGGATTTTCAGTCTTTATTGCTAGTCTTTGGGTCTTCCATGTTGTTTGGCACAATAGTTGGATCTCAAGCAGACCAACCGGGAGACTGAATTCACAGCGTATACATAGATAAGTACTCACTCTTATTTGTGATGGATTTACACTAAATGTTTGTGTCATTCTTGTCAGGGGTCGAAAGAGAGCTTGCATTACTTACATACTCTGCTGCATCACGAAGCATTCCCTATTTCCCTTCATTACAAAGTCCTGATGTTGGGTCGGGCATATCTTATTCGATATTGCCACGTCTCTCCACTTTTCATCATTTGAGTCTTCGCTAGAAGCAGAGCATTTTAAATGAGGGTCCTTGAATATTACATCTGATGAAATGAAGATAAGTCACTATGAAGTTTATGTTCATACATTATTGGCATCATGAACTGATGAGCACATTAATTGATCTTGACTTGGTTGTAAATGACATTTGCTAATGAATATGTTGTAGTCCTGGTGCAAGCCTGCTATGATTTAATTTGCTTAGACTGTGTACCAATTACTTGAAAATTTAAAGTTATTCTGTTTTCGTTTTCATGCATGTATTCGATCTTAGTTCAGTTTTTTTTCAATACCTTTTCAATAGTGGATGTCTATAATGTACCTAATATAATGTATATGTATGTGTGTGTGTATGTGTGTGTGTGTGTGTGAGATTATAAAGTTTGGAAATAAACCGTCACAAGAAACATGAATAAACAATAAAAAACAAAATGTGCAAAATTTAGAAACAAAAATAAACAAAAATCATAATATGTTATTTTTTCAGCTTATTTTTTAGTATTTTAAAATTCTCATAGTTGATATTCACTTTTGTACGTTTCTCCCTAGTTTATTGTTTTTTATTTTATTTTAATATTTTTTAATTTTTTAATTTTTTTATTCATATTTTATACGGAGTATTTTTTCAACTTTTAAATTTTTCTTTGTGTTTGATATTTTAATATTTCAAAGTTCACATAATATTTATTGAGGTCTAGATCATTACATTGTTTATCGATTACATTAATTTATGATTTTTTAAATTTTATTAATTTTTATTTTATTAATCTTACTTTTCAAATTTTAATTTGGACTTTTGAATAAATTTCATATTTTAGAGATATATTTATTTTTATTTTTATGAATTTTTTAATTTGTATGTATTCCCATTTTAATTATTTTTACTATTTTGTAAATAAATCTAGTTTGTTTACATATTCAGAAAAGTACGGAGTATTACCTTATTTTACATTTCTTGTTTATAATTTTTACGTTTTTTAACTATAAATTTTATAACGATTAAAAAAACTATAAATTTTATAATTAAACATTCAAATTTGGTTATACTTTTAAGAGATTACATTTTATTTTCTAGTTTCGTAGTTTTAATTCTTTGTACTTTTATTTTACATATTTCTGTTTTTTTTTTTTTTAATTCAGGTTCGTTTTTTTGGATTTTTTTTTATAGTTTTTTACGTATATATTACTAATATTAAAGAGGTTTACAAAAAAGTGACCAGCCTATCGAACACGTAAGGTGGGTAGCGAGTAATGTAGGAAAGACCTAGTTGCCCTAAAATTCTAAAACGGTTACTTTCCAACTTAATCTTATAAATATAAGGCGGTGAACAGAGACGGTGACTCCTTTGTTTATAAATTACTTCGCATTAATTGAATAAGACATAATTTTGACTATTTGATTCATTTTGGGTTTCCGATGATGAGTTTGAACCGGCCAGAGTAGAAAATAATTTGATAGTTACTCCAAGTAATGATTTGATAGTTACTCCAAGTAATTTAGGGTGATAAATGAATAGGAGGCATGTTTTGGGTTTGCGGTTGTACATGACTTTGAATTGGAGTAAATATACCATATAGTAATGATGATATTGGAGTAATGAGACGGTAGGAATTCCGAGAGGAATTCTGAGTAACTTAGGACGAGCAATGAATAGAAAAAATGTTTTTGGGTTTGAGTAGATAGTAATGATATTGGAGTAATGAAACGATAGTAATTCTGAGCAACTTAGATTGAGAAAGGAATAGAAAACATGTTTTTGGGTATGCGTGTGTGAGTCTGAATTGGACTACATAGTAATAATATTTAGTAATGAACCATGACTAAGCTCAAGTAACTGAAGCAGAGAAATGAATAGAACCCATGTTTTTTGGGTTACTGGTTGTGCGCTTAAAATGGAGTAGATAACCATGAGGATAATTTTACGGGAGAAGGAAACTGAAAATTAAACCGTAGTAACCGGAAAGTCAAATGAGGAATAGTTAAAAGGGTTTATATTCATTTAATTGATAGTCATATTTTTGTTAATGAGGTTTAAACTGGTAATATTTGTGTAATTTTTTCTTTTTATTTGCATGTTTTCATTTTTATTATGCAAGTTTAGAATTTTATTAGACTTTGAGCTTTTTTCCTTTATTTTGTAATTTAAGTTTGAATTAGTGTTTATATTTTTACATTTTCCTATTTAGAACTAAATTTATGTAAATAATGCACAGAGAATCTAGCCCTTGTAAAGAGTCAAAATGCACGTGCAGGGGTGAAGATATGAGAGCATCTCCAATGCTAAAGCGTTAACGGTGCATACGTGACATGAGAAATAACCAATTAAAAAATAATAAATACAATATCTCTCTCCTTCTTTCCACGATCTTATGTATTTATGATAAGTTTTTGTCTGCAATGTCAATCACAATGTCTACATCTAGACATTGTGCTTGACATTGTGAAGATAAACTTAGCAAAATGATGTAAGATCCTTTAAATAAGGAGAGAGATATTGTATTTATTATTTTTTAATTGGTTATTTCTGATGTCACGTATGCACCGTTAACGTTTTAGCATTGGAGATGCTCTGAATAGATCGAGCTTCCAGTACCGAGGTTTTATAGTAGCGGGCTATTTGTGAAAAGAAAAGCTTACTTAGTCTACTTTTGAAAGAAGAGTTGAAGAGTGATAAAAGTTAGTGATACTGAGTATTATTTTCACTTTTATGCTCACTTGTGTAATTTCCCCGATAATTATTGCTCCTTGTTGACATGGGCTTACTAAATTATTATGTAGAGGAATTTGAGTTCATCACAAAAACGAATAAGAATAATACAAACTCGATTGGATTTTGTTTTGTTTATTTAATAGCTGACAACAAAGGAAAACTTTGGAACATCGATGGTACGTTTACGTGACTAATGCGAGAACGTAATTTAAATGAACGGTAGCTAGTAGTTTAGTACTAATGATGTTTTCTTTTAGACCGAAATTTGATGGTCTGGTAAATGTCTGGTTCATGTGTATTTTATAATTACGGAAGTCTGGTCTGATCTGGTCTGGTCTGGTCTGAGACTGAAAACAGTCCAAAAGAAAACATCCTAATTCCTACTCGTATATACGGAGTAGACCTGCACTAATACGGGCTCGGGCTCGGCCTCGATTTTTTCTAAGCACATGTCCAAACCGTCCATAAAAGTAGTCCCTACTGGGCTGCCCGGCCCAAGAGAACTTTAAAATTTTCAAATTAATAATATTGCAACGTTTTGAAAATTATTAATGTGTTTATACTTTATAGTGTTTGTAGGTTTCTCACCACATACATAGAAGATATTTGCTACAATTTTTTAGAATTAATGAGATCCCTTTATGTGAGATTGTACTAAAAGTAGGCTTGTTTTTTGCACCGGTCCTTTCTCTTACATCAAATGCAATTATCTAAGTTCTTTTTTAATTAGAAGGGTAATGTAACGTAACTGTGTATTCAAATAAAACTATGAGAAATACAAGTAATTCAGAAGAGAAGGCAATAATATGTAATATGAAGCATATTTATAAATTATACGGAGTAATAGAGTATCATTCAAGCCAGTCATTCTGGAAGTCAATTATGTAGTACTCCGTATGAGATATTGAGATATACTCCATTAGGTTACGTAACTTATGTTGTTATGATTGTAAATTAGGAGCATATATACGCAATTACGCATCCAAAAGCAAGGCCGGGTACCGTGCTTACATATAACTTATAAGAGATAATCCGTATAATTGTTTGTTTTAGTTGTTTAATTACAATATCTTGATTATTTTTAATTTATATGGTCAACTTATGATAGATTTTACAGTATAATTTGCCGAAATGGTTGGATATATATACACAAGCGCGGTTTATGATGTTTCCTTTTGGACTGTTTTTAGTCCCAAATCAGACCAGACCAGATCAGACCAAACTTGGCTTCTGTAGTTATAAAATACACAGAGACCAAACGTTTACTAGACCAGACCAGTTCAGACCAGACCACCAAATTTCAGTCCAAAAGAAAACATCCTAAGGAGATCGAAGCCTTCAATATTCAATTGATCAATTCCTCGTGGTCGCCGGTCCGATCCGTCGCCTTTTCATGAAAGTAACCGTTCGGACATCGAATTTGATGTTCCTTGATTATTTGCTCCTCCTTATACGTACGGTAACGAATAATACCATCGAGAATTTGTATTCCGCCGCCGCTCATTAGCTTATTGCTCTCCGCAATGGTAAACGGATGATTCATCCCATTTTGCACATGTGGCGACGGCCCATGTTGGTAGTCAACTGAGCTGCCGTAACATTGTTCTTTGCTTTGTTGGTCGGAGTTTACCGGCTTGAAAGCATCGGTACTATATCCCGCATGCCGCATATTGTCATCAATGAAGTGACGACCATTGCCGCGGCCGCCGCCGATGTGAGGGATAGGCTGCGGGTTGCCAACTCCCGCCACCGCCACCGTGTCGTACTGCAGTGTTTGGGCAGACCACATATAATAGTTAAAAGAAATTGTTCAAAATAGGACTAAAGTATAAACACAATTTTAAAATAGGGATAATAAGTATGTATGATTTAAAATTTTCTGTAATATTTAAAAGTAAATACTACCTCCGTTGGTTGTCCACTTTCAATTTGGCACGATTATTAATGGGAAAGTTCCCGAAATAGGACTAAAAGAGTTTGAAAATTCCAAAATAGGACTGACATGTTTTTATTCCCAAAATAGGAGTAATTACTGTCAAGTTTCGAAAATACTGCCATGTTTGAAGTCTGGTACTGCCAAAACATGTCAGTAATTAGTCCTATTTTGGGAATAAAAACATGGTAGTACTATTTTGGAATTTTCTAACTCTTTTAGTCCTGTTTTGGGTAATATTTCCTTATATTAATAAAGTGGTTGAAAAGTAAAAGTTGTGGTTGAGATTTGAGTAGAATAAAGTGAATTGATAAGAACCACATATTTCATCCAAAAAAGGAAACAAGACATTCATTTTGGACAACCCAAAAAGGAAAGTAGGACAACCAAAATGGGACGGAGAGAGTATTTGGATTGGAAGTAGGGTTGGGCTCCTCACCAAGTGAATGCTCCTAGATGAGCCTTCCTCCGAGTATTTGGCTGGTTGGTTCTTCTTGCCAGCATTACGGAACGTGATGCCACTTTGAAGAACCATTTTTGACGTTTTTTTTTCTTCCTTCGAATTATACAGAGATCTAATTTTGGTGAATTTATAAGGTTGGTACGTACTTGGATACCTAAAGAAGACGAGAATGAAAGAGACTTCTTTGCTAATTATTCTTCTCATTAATTGATGCTCCATTGACTGGTCGTAATATTATACAAACACCCACCTAAGCTTATACATTTGGTATATATTCTTCTAGGAAATAAAATTCCCAATTTAATTACTTTAATAGTATGTCAAACCTAGGGGCTGAACACAGATCTGAGATTTCTCGTTCCGTACCGAGAACCGTCCCGAACTGTACCAGAACCGAGCGTACCGAACATTTTAATAATATGGTATGGTACCGGTTCTTAGTGAGAACCGTCCCAAAACCATATTGAACCATACCGTCCCAAAACGTCCCATAATGTCCCAAAATAATCGCTATAGAAAATAGTATATTAAGAAGTACTCCCTCCGTTCCTAAAAATTCTTCCCGGTTTGAATTGGCACGCCTATTAAGAAAGTGGAATAAAGTGGAAATGTGTGGTTGTGGTTGTGTGAGAAAAAGGTAAAATGAATGTGAGCCACACAAATTGTCCAAAAAGGGAAAGTGGGAAGAATTTTTGGGAACGGCCCAAAAAGGAAAGTGAGAAGTATTTTTGGGAACGGAGGGAGTATATTATATATTGGTATTATATTAGTTTATTAATCTACATTTTGATTACTCAAAACTTTGGATCCCAATACAATTATACTAAATTTTAAGGAACACTTAAACATACGGGTACTAGTAAAGTAGTAATAACTATGAGGAAAGAAAAGGTCAAATAAGGCATTCTACTATTACGAAATCATCACATAATTAAGGTCATGTACTCAAATAAAGAAAAAGGTCATGTACTCAATAAAGTGTCATATAAATACGTCTACTTATAAAAAGCAATTGAATGAGTCAAAACGGCCCGTTGACAACCTCCTAATCCCGATTTTAGCTGGTGCATTGTTATTTTTGCCTTGTATTTAAGCCAACCCTGGCCAAATATTTCACGTCAACCTTATAACCTATTTTAAAAAGATAGCCAAACATACGTTGAAACAGGGATATGATTACGAGGTTGTCAATATAGGTCATTAGGACTCATCCGATTACTTTTCATAAGTAGACGTACTTATATGACACTTTATTAGTACATGACCTTATGCGATAATTTCATAATAGTAGAAGACCTCATTTGACCTTTTTCTCTAACTATTATAAGGAACACACTTAAACCTAGTTAGTATTATGTCAGCGACCTCTTCTCTACTACTCTACATCCTTCCGACCTTGTCGCCACTCGTCATTCTCCAACCACATCCCTCCCATGTCAGTATTCCTCCTCGATTGGGCTCACCTACAAGTCTACAACCATATTTTGTAGAGGTAATCTTCATTTATTCCTTTCCAATTGATTTTAAGGAGTGATTGTAAACTTTAATTCGCAGAAGCTATGTATAGAGTGTTTGGGTGCAATAATAGTGTGTTTTTTTTTTTTTGAAAAAGTGGAAATTAATCAATCAAGAACTAGCTATGATAAAACCTAGATTATTTTTTACTTTGTGGAGTTAATTATTTAGCAAATGAATAGTATCGAAGAACCGTTCCAATCCGTACCGAACCGTACTGAATATTGGTACATAACGGGACATGTTCTATACATATTCGGAACGGTACTGGCTCTTTGATTTTCAAAGAACCATACTTTAGGACGTGACATGTTTTTTTAAATAACCCCGTCTCATGCTCACCCCTAGTCAAACCAATAAATAGTTATAACTACAATATAATCTCACTAGTCATGTTTAAAGTTTAAATTAACGACCTAAAGTCTCGATGGACATTAAAATAACCCTAAAATGATAAGGAGTATATATAAACTTATTTCCCAAATGAATGCACTTCACAAGAATACTTTTAAAACTATTAAGTGTTCAAGGATATTTTTTTTAAAGAAATTAAAACTGGGAACGTCACAAGGGATTGAACCTCGATCAGCGGCTAAGAATTCCTTTTAATTTGTACCAATAGCCATTAAACTGGTGCCTTTAGATGGCATCTAGTCTCTTTATACTCCGTAACTTATTAGACTCCAATGTTAATTGCAAGCATAAACTAAATTTAACATATGACGTGCACTTTGTCGTGGTGTACACTCAAAATAATAATACAATACAACAATTATACGTAGTATAACGAAGTAAGGTTCGTATCCACAGGAAAAAGAATACTTCTCTCTTTATAAGCTAGTAACAAGGGGGGTTTGGATTGAGTGGATAAACTTAAATTATATTCAAACACGAAGATGAACGAGTTATGTGGTTTACTTAATAAGAAGAAGACTTGGCTTTGCTTTTATCCACTTAATGAAATGTTCGTCGATCCCGGTTATATCTTTAACTATCTTCCTCTCGAATACTCAATCGAGGAGTATATCCAGATCATCGAGGGTAGCTATTAATAACGAGATGCGTTCATTAATAAAACTTACTATCGAGTCAATATAGAACAAGCGCCGTATATTAACTTGATAGTAGCAATAAACTTAAGATGAAAACGATTGAGATTGATAACCTCAACACAAGCGGTTTATTGGTTTAATCAATATAATTAATTCCTCTTGACTTATTAACCATGAGAAGCATGCATTAACACCCCAAGTTTACTACCATTGAAAGAACCGAATTAATAACAAGCGTATTAACCGATTGATTCTAGTAATAATTAATATATGAAACAAAACTAATTGATCCTTTAAGTAATGCTCAAAATATTAATATGGAATATGAATATGAAATAATTAATATTCAAGGAAGAAGATTAAAGGAAATAACTCACAACTTACAAATCATTAAACTTCAAAGTAGCAAAACCAAGATGGAAGAGTTTAGCTCCTCATTTGGAGACTAAACATGATGAAAAATATAAAGAAAGAACTTGTCTAAACTGAGCTAAGAAGTATATGTGAATTGGTGATCTTATTGTGAAGGAAAAGGGGTGTATTTATAGGTGTTTGGAGGTAGCAGGGTGGTGTACCCGACCGGGTATATAGGGTACTCGATCGGGTATTTTAGACAGTTTCCCGGAAAATCACTTTTCTAGACATACCCTATCGGGTATGAAGGCATACCCGATCGGGTATGAGCCAAATCTTCAAAATCCTGCACGTTTTTTTGTCTCTCCAGATCTCTCCAGATTCTGATTTTGACACCCGAATCAACTCAATACTCGATCGGGTATTGCCTATACCTGACCGGGTATATGAAATATTTTTTCAATCTTCTTTTGATCTTGTCCCCTCGCACTTTCCTTGATCTTTTGGGGTCCAAACTTGATCCTTTGGATGATCTTGACCTGTTTTAAGCTCAGAATAATCCTAATCTAAACAAATTACATCTATCTAAGAAAATTAACTAATTACACCAAAAGTGTGTAATTTTCCAAACAACAACAAATAAAACTAGTTAAAATAGAAATAATACATGATAAAAATACAACTCTATCAACATATTTCTATATTATACACCATAGTCATCAACAATCAAAATATAAAGGATTAATCACAATTTATTGGTTTAAAACTTTTATCAAACACATAGTGGGCATAGAGGTTTATCCCTAGCCTTAGTTAAGAAACCAGCCTCTAATGATCATATTAATCACAATAAAATATTGAAATGTAATGGAACATGAAATTACAAAGGAAATAATACCTAAACACCAATGATTTCGGAGGATGAACTTCCTTCCTCAAGAACTTGAAGAAAAATAGCAAGAACAAAATATAAAAGCTAGGAATTAATCTATGGAATGAAATTATTATGTTTGATGAATTGAGGGCTTTATATAGGCTAAAGAATAACATCTTTTAGTCTATTCGAGCCCAACAATCAGGTATGGAGCAATATTTGATTAAACAATGAGGAAATGAAGTTTTCTCATAAAAATCCTCTTGCATGCATGTCGTTGTGTTTAAGCAGAATCGGCCCCCAGAAAAAAACAGGATAAAATATGTGAAAAAACCTTTCGACCGACGCCAGTCCTAGACTGAACGGTGCCGGTTGCTGCGCCCAAAAAAGCGCTTCATTTCTCTTCCTCCGAAATGGATCCAGAAGTGTTGGTTTTCGCCTCGGGATTTTGGGGATGTTCCGCTACGAATTTGGACATGATTCCTTCACCAAAGTTGTAGATAAAGAAGTCTTATATCCACCAAAACTTGAATGACATGATTTTATTCATCCAACCAAAAGATATGGATAAAACATTGAGAGGTATGCATCCTGAAATCCCTTCAACAACATATGAGTTTATTGGTTGATTGAGTCTCGATCCTTTCATATTCTGGCCATGGTGTCTGCACAACATTTGTAGATTATTGAGTTTTTATTAACATGAAATTCGAATCGAGTCATTTGGAATTCCCTACAATACGTTATACTCAAATTATGGGCAGAACGTCATCCTCTTGGTCCCAAAAGCCGTTCATCACAACGTTTTATGCTTTAGCTCTCATTCTAAAAGTATTTGTCCGATTTCTCTTTGTTCAACAAAATGCTTATAAATACTTATGTTAAGCACAAGTAAATATAACGGCTACCAAATCCCCCCACACTTGAGCATTGCTTGTACTCAAGCAATTTCTTTGTATTGAGGTACAATTAGAGAAGAAACAAAACCATGCAAATTAAGAGTTTAATAAGATGATAAAAATTCAATATAAACACTCTAATCTCTCTCCGGCCGAAAACCTTTTTCTATTACTCACGATAAATGAATTTAAGATTAAGAATAATATTTAAACACTGTGATAATTTTGTGATAATTTAGGCAATGTGTGGGTACGTCGGTGTTATTTTTTTTTTGCGGATCGACAACTTGAGTTTGTAGAGAAGGCTATTCTAGGAGAATATGAGTTTGTGTTTTTTATTTTTTATTTTTGCTTTTGTATATAAACTCCTTTTTTTGTTCTCCGTAATTAAATATCTGGATTG